CAGGCGGGTCTTGAACCCGTGGGCTCAGGCAATCCACTCACCTCGGCCTCCCAAAGCGTGGGATTACAGGTTGAGCCACCAAGCCTGGCCATTGTCTGCATTTTAAAAATGAGGATATTCATACACAGAGTGATTTAGTAACTTGCCTACACTGGCCAGCTAAAAAATGATGGTGCTGGGATTTAGACCTATGTTTATATGAGTCCAGAGCCCTGTTGTTAACCACTGTGCTATGTGTTTTAGAATTGACATTTGAAATACATGTTATGTATCTATAACATGTAAAGTTATTTGTATGTATGTATATAAAAAAATTCAAATAAAGGAAGCTACTATTTTTATCAAAGCTGTGTAGTACTTTAAAGTCTAAAATGAATAATGCTTTTTAAGATGCAGGTTGGGCACAGTAGCTCATGCCTGTAATCCCAGCACTTTGGGAGACCAAGATGGAAGGATTGCTTGAGCACAAGAGTTTGAGACCAGCCTGGGCAACATAGCAAGACTTTGTCTCTACAAAAAATAAAATAAAATAATTAGCCAAGCATGGTGGCATGTACCCTTAGTCCTAGTTACTATGAAGGTTGATGCAGAAAGATCATCTGAGCACAGGAGATTGAGGCTGTTGTAAGTTGTGATTGTGCCACTGCACTCCAGCCTGGGTGACAGAATGAGACCCTGACTCAAAAATAAAGTAAAAAAATAAAAAATAATAAAATGCAGCCCTTTGGTATTGTTATGTTTCATTTTATCTCAGGCATATGTTGTTCAGTGTCTAATGTAATCAAGGCAGTTATTTTGCATTTTTAATCTGTTTTTTGGGTGGTTAGGGTAAGTTTTTATTTTTTTTATTTTTTTTTTTAATTGGAGTCTCACTCTGTTGCCCAGCTGGAGTGCAGTGGCCGCTCCTGGCCACTGCAGCCTCGACCTGCTGGGCTCCGGCGATCCTTCCGCCTCAGCCTTCCAAGTAGCCGGAATTACAGGCATGCGCTACCACGCCCGGCTGATTTTTTGATTTATTGTAGAGATGAGATCTCGCTGCCCAGGCGAATCTCGAACCCGTGGGCTCAGGCA